TCTGTGAACCACTTGTTGGATTGAAATCGATTGATGATGTCGTCTGTTCTTGGTATATTGTCTGTTGCTGTGACAATGTTGTTGTTTACTGGTCTGAAGTCAATGATCAGTCTTGGTCGTCCATCTTTCTTCCAAATGACATTGGCTGTGCATCCATGTGCTGCTGTCGATGGAATGATGGAACCTCTCTCATACAGTCGCTTGGTTATCTGATCCATTGCCTCTTGCTGTTTGGGTGACTTGCGATAAGGGTAACCACGCATGATCTTGTTCTCATCAATGAGTTTCAACTTAAGGTCAGTTGATCTGGCTGGTGGCAATCCAGTGGTGATCTCATCCACAATGACGTCACTGAACTCTTCCATAAACTGACTCTCCAATTCCCTTGCTCGCATCCATTCTCTTGCTGCTGTCTCAGCTGCCTTATTGTTGCCAATGATCACCTTATATATCGCTCTGATAGGTGTGACAACGAACAACATTGTGAACTTGTGATTGTTGATATCTATCTCTAAGTTGACTGACTGATTACTTGTTGTTGAAGTGTTCTCAAACACTGGTGACTGTATATTGAATGTCTCTTTGTTGCTGATATCGATCTTCATGTCTGCAATAATTGATGGATCAATGAGACAGTAGTTGGCCCCTGTATCGACGATTGCTGAGGCAACTCTCTTATCTATCTTGATTGGAATAACATCGAGTGTCAACTCTTTGTTAATGTTTGTCTTGGTATCAACCTTGACAGTCGGCTCTCTAACCTTTGTATCATTATCTAATGATTGATTACAACATTTATCACCCATGCTACAGACAGCCTAGACAAGAAGATAATTGAAGAGGGAGTCACGATATCAACCAACCTTGCTCACTCGATCATCAACTCTCTCAATCTCTACTGGAACCCTGCCCCATAGTACTCTGACACACAGTCTCGTGTGTATGAGAGCTCGGAACATGCCAATCAATTTCAAATTGTAAAAATAGATTTGTTTTAATTAAATTTGTTGGTCTCTCGGTAACACTGAATCTGGTTGCTTCTCCGCCAACAACATCATGATATTATTTGATTGATTGATTTGTTTAACAAATAAATAAGTATTGTCCAGTTAGTTCAAGTCGTTGTGTATTTAATTTCATTTCGATTATTTGGAATTTTTCAAATTAATTTGGAAGTTCACTCATATGGTAGGGTGATCGAGGCTTTCATTCATTCATTCATTCATTCATTCAATGATATTGGATGTTTCAAGTGAGGTAATGGATAATAGATATTGATTGAAATAGCTTTGCTTTACGGGCACTGTTTATTATCTATTGTAGCACTTGTGACACCAGTTGAGTATTGTAGTAGGATCGCTAGAATACTTGTTGAACGCGTTTTTGATTGTGTCGAGGAAGGATGCAGTTCTGTTCTTATCTCGGCACTCTCTCTTCATCATCGCGAACAACAGTTCGATGATGTTGAGCTCAGGGCTATAGGTTGGCAAGAACACCAACTTGACATTGATCAAATCAAGCATCTCCTGGATGAGAGGGAGGCGGTCCCTCTGTGTGTGGATACTGGCATTGTCGAGCACGATGTAGGTATTGGGTCGGATGTAGTCAGCCTCCATGGCATTGATGATGAATGAGCAGAAGGTGATGCTGTTGTTGGTGTCACCCTCAGTATGGTCCTTCATCCTCGCGTAGGATCCGTGGTGGATTAAGAAAAAAAAAAACAAAAAAAAGGAATCCCTGAAGGACTCTCTGT